CGAAATGCATATTTTTGCTCTCATACCACACACAAATTTGAAAGCCGTACATTTTTTGGATCACACAACATTTTTAATTAGTTTTTGTTGTTTTTTTCTTTTCTCTCTCTCTCTCTCTCTCTTGATCTCTTCGTCGACTTATTGGTGTGAAATTAAACTAAATCTAACTGATACAGTTTCACCACATAATTTTTTTTGTCTTTCATTCTCGTTATGTTCTGCTTTATCTGTATCTCGCTTGTTAACAGTCATCGGGAGTATATTTTAGAAACGAATTAGATTTTTAGTCCATTCACCGGAGGCATTCGATTTGATCGAAACGAGCGAGCACACAACATCGAATGAAATAATTTGTTTTTTTTTTTCACTCTTGCTTCAACTCGCCATCTCATTTTATTGTTACACATGATTTATTTACATTTTCGAAATGGTTTCAAGTAATAGCAATATCAAGAGATTGCGCGCAAGATGCAAGCGATTTCAGAATCGATAATAATTTGATGATGTTTGAAATGAAAAATACAATGTCTGTGACCTCAAGTCAATGATATCCACATTTTGTTAACTAATGGTGCTCTTGTTTTTTTTTCTACCAATTTTTATCCATTTCATTTATTATTTTGCTGGATTTTTCACTTTACATTCAAAACGTTCTCATTTTCGCTTCCACTCTTCAAACTCCTGTACTCCCCATCTCTTACTCTCTCCTTCCTCCAACTCGATTTCGATTCATTTCGATTCGCTTCAAATGAATTTCATTCTTTGCTTCATTACATCTTGTTTCGATGATAATTCGATCTTTTCGATCGATGAGGTAGATTTTCATCGTATACCGTGCACGTACACGGTAGTACATGAATAAATAATAATAAAAATTGAGTTATTTCCATTTCAAAGTTAACTAGATCTTCGCTGTGTGTGTGTGTGTGCTGGTTGGCATTCATATACTCGATCGATGAATCGAAATTAACAAGACTGTCTCGGCTGGATAACAGCCGACGAACCACTTGAAACGATGATGACGATTTCTCTCAATTGTAGAACCGAGACACACGCGCATCACTTCACCATTGCCGCAATGAATGCTCAATGACTTGAGCAGTAAAAAAAAAGAGAATAGAATTTTTATTCGGTTATATCATAAGCGATTGTCATAATGTGATTTCGTGAATCTCGTTCTCTTTTCTACTATGGATTCTATTCTTGTGAATGAAATCGATTTTCGACCAAAGCAAAAGCTTAAGGAGAAGAAGTTATTTACCATTATTCTCATAATTTGTATGAGTAACACAATAGCAATTATTTTGGATCAACGTTTTCATTAGTTTTTTTTTTTTTTTTTTTTTTTTAAACTCTTTTATCAATGGCACTCATTGCATTTACACATCTTTTAACGAGACTCAACACATTTCATTGAAAAAAAAAACAAGATTCCAGAGTTTGGAAATCGTTCACGCTGGAAGCGGAACGGTGTGTGTGTGCATGTGTGCGGTTTGCCTTTTGGTATTATTTAAAGGAATGTAATTAAAATTGACCTTTCCCAGAATGTTGAGTTCGGATGTGATGCGCACGCAAATTCAAACGTATTTCAGCGGGAAGAGAGATAGATGTGAATGGGAAACGGTCGATGAATGAAATCGAGCAAACAATAAACGTTCAGTTCCATTCACAATAAAAAAAACCTATGGCCAATGCTCTCCCATTCAGTTTCTCGTTCGATGGAAAATAAAGAAGGAATAAACCACGAACGGTAGCATAATAACAAACAAATAAACGCTAACTAATCAACGAACCAAACGGCGAACACAGTGCGTAGGAATGAATAAATTAAATGTAAAAAAAACAACAACTAACTTTAAGACTCTATTAAACGTTGCGAGCACGTTAACACTGTGGTATTTGCTCGGCTGCATGCAGCGGAACTCATTTTCCGATCACATACAATCAGCAATTCAAAACGAAAAAATGTATATGCTCGCAACTGAGCCTGAATCACACACTCATACACACTCTCTCTCTCACGTAATTTATTCGACGGTGTAAAATTGTGTAATACGGCAAATGTGGAGTGCGTTCGGGGATTATGATTAGAGAGACGAGCATTGGATTATTATTATTATAGTTTGTGTGCATCGCCACGCAACATTTTTATGTCAAAAACAGCGTCACACACCCTGATGATAATGCCATATGTAGTATGATTTCAATGGACTCACATGAACGTTCTAAATGGACTTCTTTGTAAATAAAACACCAATAAAGTTCAAATGGATTTGGTTTTCTGGTCTGGCTATACTTTCGAAAAACCTGTGAAACTAGAAAATACATAAAAAGTGAATGTGTTGAGCAAGAGAGGGAGAGAGAAAAGTCCAACACGAAAAGTTTCTCTCATTCATAAATAAAAAATATGAGATTTTTTTTTCTCTCCAGAAATGTACGAGTGATAATGCTGCTGCCGCCGTCAAGCCGGAGGGAATAAAATGCATCTGACGTCGGCAAACGAGAGAGCGACGAATAAATAAAAGCACCATAACAGTCATAATAATAATTTCGATGTTTAATGGCTGGATGAAGAAAAAAAATACACACCGAGAGTAGGTAGAAAATTAAAATCATAATTGTTAATAGTTGATTTGTGTGATTCGGTATGAGCATTTAGATTTGAAGCAGCACACTCTTTTTTGTGCCTCCTGTCTTCTTTTCGAATATTATATCCAGTATCGTTGTTAGCTCTCTCGCGCATTTAAAACATATATCGTTAAAATGCCACAGCGCACATATGCATATGCCAACAACGAAAAAAACAAAATCAGATATAGCGAGAGTGAGACGCGACCAGACCGGTAACGAGTTAACATACACACACGAAAAAAATGGGTAGCGTATGAGTGTCATATATGTTGTTTATGATACTTAAAAACGTATAAATTAAGATTAAAATTAAGCTATAATGATACAATATGAGGAATTGATGTTAGTCGGTTAAGCTCGAAGGTGTATATACGGAAAAGGCCATTGTGATGACGGATTCTTTGCATGTCGCTTTTAGCTTGCAATCAACTCGGATCGAGAAAAAAATTGATCAAAAATCAAGAATTCTTTACCCCCTTGTGAAAATGCGCGTATTTTTTTGTTGTCCTGAATGAGTAAATTCGTCTGAAAGTTTTGTGCAAATTGAATATTTGCGACGCGCACCACAAAAAAAAGTTTTATTAGCAACGATAATAACAACAATGATGACATCGACTTGTGCTCATTTTTTTTGTTTTGTATTTAAGTTAACTTTGTTCGTTTGTTGAACAGTAGTCAGATTACGCGGAATCAATCGCGCACGACAATGTGTGGTACGTTTTTGCGCATGCACATTATAATATGTAATCCGTCGTCTGGAACGTCAACAAAAATTTTGAGACAGAGCAAGCGAAAAAAAATACGAATTGGATTACGATTTGTATGGCAAGAAAATGATGACAGGCACAAGTTAAACCATATGAAAATGAGCATTTATAAATGTGCGCCCGTGAATATTTGCGTCACCGTGAAATTGTATTCGACCGATTTCATTGTTGGCACCATCGTGCTTGCAAACTCGCGCGGGTATTGTGTATTCTAAGATATTTTTCTTCGTTGAGCGTGTGCGCGAGTGAATGGCCAAGTAAATGGTTGAAATCCCGATGACAAGCGAACAAAAAACCACATTCCGGGAATACTTGTGAGCCGGATAGTTAGTTACATTTTAAATGTCCCATTTGGAATGCCAATGCGTTGGCTACTGCAAGAAAAACTCATAAATATATCTCGCGTAGGAATACGGTTATGAACCCCAAACACACATACCATTTTAATGGACCATTTTAAATCGGAGAAGAAAAAAATAATCAAAGAAAATGATTTGAGTGTATGTCTCTCGTCGAATCACATTGACTACTAATTTTGACTTAACGCCTATGCATAAACACCGATTTTTATCGATTTGATGGGGGCATCAAAACAAATTATCGCCAATCACCATGTCATGTTAAGCTCTCATCAAAGTCGCGTTTAAAGACAAGACAATAAACATGAAAATTATTATGATTAGTTTTTTTAGTTCGACTTTAAATGTGGTATTTAATGTCGACATTTCTTGCGCACCGTTGCTTTTTACATCGCATGCTTGAACGTTTTTTCTTTGTTTTACCGTCTTTGTTTCTGATGCGAGACACTTTCATGCATTGTGGAGGTGTAAACGATGTGATTTTTGTCTATTTGGACGACATTTTTCACACAGAGACGATGTGAAAATACAAATTGAAACAATGGCCGAAATTGTTGAAATTACATTTATGGTAAAGTTTTTTAATTTTATACAAAAATCCGGAATCAGTCGATTCTTCTCAATTTCTTTTTTTAAATCAGAACTGTTATTTTTATTTATAAAATATAAATGACGTCAAAATTGAGACCGCTTTCAAAACATCCGATAAGATTTGCAATTAACGACCAAGTTAGACGATAGAAGTACTATCTTCTTGTGAATGTCAATGTCGAGCACTGATATTTAATTCTGTTTTCTCAAATGTCATAAAGTGCATTAGTTTTTTTTTTTTTTTCATCCCCTTGTGGAAAGTTACTGACTGGCTAGCCAGTCGTCTATTTTGGGACGTTTTCAGATTAAGCCGACTGAGATCGAAGTCATTTTAAGTTGATTTATTCGACTTTATTTATAACTAAAATCGACTTTAATCATAGTTGACTGTAAAGTCGTCTAACGTCCCAAATAAGTCGTCTGGTTAAATAGACGACTAACGTCGACTAGGTAGTCGGTTTTAGCTAACAAAATTAATTTACAGTTGATTTCAGCTAGTCAGTCAGTCAGTAACTTTTCTTCCACGCGGGTCATGATTTGAGTTCGTTTGAGTCTCACACGAACAAACATTGAAATGATAATAAGAATAAAATTACAATGACCTGACATTGATTCGAGTCAAAAAATTTGCTTCACATTTGCCTGCAATCAGTTGTACATGTAAGACGTAAGTAGTTCGCGTTTGAACAAAAACAAATGAATTTATTTACACCGCAATGTGAGGCGCAAAGTGTTGGCGCAGCAAATCAACTATTTGCAACGTTGGTTCAAACAATTTTGGCTGTTCAATGTTCAATTTCTCCGCCGGATATGTGGCCGAAAGACTACGGTGAAACTGCATTGGAAAGTGGTATTTTGAAAGAATGATAAAATTTACTCCCGAGTTCTGAATATACAATATTTTTTAGATTTTGTTGATTTCGATTTCATCGTCATTGGAAGTGGGTCGAGTGGAGGAGTGGTCGCGAGCCGACTGAGTGAAATTGCAGACTGGAAAGTTCTTTTGCTGGAAGCCGGAAGTACTCCGCCAATTGAATCTGAAGTAACCAACAACACTGAGGTTTTTTTATGTGAATTTACTTGAAAATGACTTTAATCTATTTAGATTCCCGGTTTTCAATATACATTGTTAAAATCTGAATACGATTGGCAATTTCGTACGGAATCGAATACAGCTTGCTTTGCATATTCAACCGGGTGTCTTCGTCCGAGAGGTAAAACCATAGACCGTATTATCACTGCAGAATAAATCAATCTCTGATTCGTCCATCTAGGTAAAATGTTGGGTGGAACGTCTGGCATGAACTCAATGTTGTATATTCGAGGTCATAAGCATGACTTTGATCTGTGGAGCGATTATCATGGCAATCCCGGTTGGGACTATGACAGTGTGTTGCACTACTTCAAGAAATCCGAAAACAACCTGAACGAAGAGTTTGTGAAATATAAGAATGGCACCTATCACAGTGATAAAGGTATGATGAAAGTGGATTTTTTCGGTGGCGACATACCGTTCAATCAAGTTTACCTTGAGGCTCTCAATGAAATTGGTATCGAAACCATTGACAATGTAAATGCAGATAAGGTATTCGGTGCAGCCGATGTTCAAGGAAATATTTGGAACGGAAGACGACAAAGTACAGCCAAAGCGTTCCTAGTACCAGCCATGGACCGTAAAAACTTACAAATCACTTATCATGCGGAAGTGCAAAAGATTATCATCGACGATCATAATCGGGCTAATGGTGTTGAATTTATTTACAAAGGAAAGCATATAAAGGCGTTTGCGAAAAAAGAGGTTATTTTATCGGACGGTTCAATAATGAGTCCAAAAATTCTAATGCACTCCGGAATCGGACCAAAAGATCATTTACAAGAACTTGGAATTCCGATTAAAATCGATTTACCGGTTGGCAAAAATTTGATTGAGCACATTTTCACGCGTATATTTTTCACATTTACAAAGTCACAAGAGTCACGCAACCCAATTCTTATGAAATTAGATGATATATATCATTTTACCATACACAATTCGGGGCCACTTGTGCATGGATATCAAGTACAAGCGACTGGATTTATAAATTCTTTTAATGGCACCGACTATCCCGATGTACAACTCTCTTATTTTCACATTCCACCCAATGACGACGTGCAAAAATCAACATTCGGCGGATTTCAACCGAAGATTAGAGATTTCTTTTTTGAAAATCTGAAACAATTCGACATCGGATTCATTTTTGCCGAATTAGTTCAACCGAAATCACGTGGTTATATTGTACTGAATACCACATCACCGAATGACAAACCCATCTTAAGACCCAATTATTTAACTAACGACGATGATGTTCAAGCACTGTTCAGGTCTATAAAAAGAATACTCGCAGTATTGGATACGAAAGCGTATAAGGAAAAGGGTGCCAAATTATTACGAATTCCGCTTGAAAAATGTGACCATTTTGAGTATTTATCCGATGAATATTGGCTGTGTTATATTCGTTACATTTCGTATCCGACAAATCACTCGGTCGGCACCAGCAAAATGGGACCAGATTCGGATGCGGTTGTTGATAGTCGATTATGTGTTCGCGGTATAGATGGATTGAGACAAATCGACGGTGGCATGTAATGATTCTCATGAATTTAATTATTTCATGATTTTATTTATCGGTCTTTTTTCGATTTTAGAATGCCAAGCCCTGTATCCGGAAACTCAAATGCAGCATGCATTATGATAGGCGAAAAGGGAGCTGACCTGATTAAAGAATCATATGGTCGTGTTTGATATTATTTTGAATTTTGGAAATTGCTTATTGACATTACATAAAATCCACACAGAAATGTATTGACGTCAGATGTATTTTATTTGAAGTTAAATTCGTTATGAAATTCTAAGAATTCTTGTTCTTTGGTATACTTTCAATAATTAAAAAAAAAAACACTTTGAATCAACATCCGCACAAAATTCTAATTTAATAAAAATGAAGCAAAGTACTTTGAGTTAAAATTACATTCCCACATAGTAACAATTTCAAACGATTTTTCGCTGATTGTATCATCGATTGGTACTTACTTTTTTCTTTGGCGTTTCATAAATAAATTCATTAAATCATGGCAATTCGTTGTTATTCACCAATATTCTGATGTCAATCTTCCGATGTTGTAATTCTTTAGAGACGTTTGATTCACTGACATAATAATCGACTCCAATTGAAGTGAATCTTTTTAAATAAGTACAACACTTATCTTCTCTCAAGTCTTTATGTTTGATCATTATATAAAATTCGAGGAATACTATCTTAATAAAATGGAAAATTCCCTTTGAATTATGTGATGATATCGATCCGATAGAAATTTCTCTCAACAAATTATAATATTTATTAATTTGAATTTTCTTTCACAAAATTGTGCCAATTTTTGTCAATGGAATTTTTAAGCAGTGAATAGAAATGAGATCATAGTTTAAAATAAACACAGATTGATATTTGTTTTGAAAACAATGTTTTTCAACCATTAAAGTCCATCAAAATTACCAATATATTGGACCAAAATCCAAAATTAATGCATAAGTAATAATGTTTACTTCAAAACTACCACGTTCAGCGAAAAAAAAATTGCGAATTTCAAAAAATCTGTAGTTTTTGCCAGTTGTTTATTTATTTAAATTTGATTAGTTTGGAAATGAATTTAAGCATTGAATTGAATAAGAGATCGAATTATGATAAGGTTAACAAAAAAACTCCCGTCATTGAGTACCCAAGGTAGAAAAGGTGAAACATCATAAATGAAACCATTTCTATAACACCATTGAAATTGATCCAATTTGATTAATAAAGACATTCGATGAAATGCAATAAATTCCGATTAAAAACCACTTAAATATGAAAAGATGTCGTTGGCATCACGGAACATAAACAGAAGGCGAAAATGAAATTTCACTTATGGTATGTGTTTGCCAGTTTGAAATGCCCAACAGTGAAAACTACTAGATTCCGCGAAACGAGTGGATCATTTGAATCACTATCTGGTGGTTTTACTTGCATTTTTGCTGAATATTGTTCAAATGTTCATTAAAGTTCATGATTTCAATTAATTCCGGGCTTATTGTTCCATATGCAGATTTGGACCCCTTGGATATGTTTTTTTAATTATTAAAAATCCGCTCAAAGATATAATTACTTGTCTGTTCGCCCACTCATCGGAGAATGCAGCAATGTTTTTGCTCTTTTCAATTCAGTAAATGACATTTTCGATTAAAAAACACCTCGAAATTCAAGCTCATAAAAATTGAAATTTATTAAAAATTAATCAGTTGATGATTTCTCCAAAACCCGAAAGAATTTTTTATATTAGTATAAAACACAACAACACAGTACCGTTGCACCAATGACATTTCGTACTATATATAAACCGATTAACTAGTCATTTGCTGAATAACAGCCATTTGAGCATCGTTCATTGGATCTATTAATAAGATTCATTAACAAAAATCTAAAATGCGATGTCATTGTGAGAAATCCCAAACAAGACGAAAGAATACGTAATAATATGATTCAAAAAGAGTTATCGCTGTTAATCCAACAATTAATTAATAATAATGCGGGTCAAATGCAGAGAACGAACTTCATATACATGGCACATTTGACGATAATTTGTTAATTAATAATACAAACCAATCGAGACTATGTTTTTCCCCCAAAAAGATTTATCACAATTCGTTAAAATCAATGTTATGTCGATATCATCAGTGATTTTTTTAGAAAAGAGAGTCAACATTTAATCAATTTGTTTGATACATCTTATTTTGTTGTGACTTCGAATTTTAACAAGTTGATCGGAGACGTTTTTCTTGTGTTCATCTTTTTTCAACTAGTTTTCTCACACAATCTGTTGTGATCAATATAAACTGTGAAGAGACATCGAGACAAACATCATGATACTGGTTTTTTGTGATGGCAATGTTATTTATCGAATCTTATCAAGAAAGCGAAAAAGAAAGAGAGTGTAACACTTTGAATACACCAAAGTCGAAGGCCAAAAATAAATAACAACACACCCAAGTCATTTAAAGTGAAATATTACAACTTTTAAGTAGACGTCATACCGATGAACTTCCGAATTTCAATCGATTACATTTTAATTTCGAACATGCGTGTCAAATCGCATTCCAAAATCTATCCAAGCCCAGTTCAATGATAGATCGTGTTGATTAATTTCAGAGCTATTTATATCGATGCGTACATAAGCTTTCGTTCTGATATTCAAATTTAAAATAAAAATATTCATTGGTTAAAATAATATATAATTCAGTCGAAAATAGTATTTTGGGGTCCAGACAGATGAACAGGGTCGTATAAAGGCATCAAAGTCTATCTTTATTGAATTTTTTTTATCTCTTGAATATCTTTGGTCATAATGAGAAGTCGAATGATCAAATAAACATGCCCAATATGAGTGTTTGTTATTATTTTGAAATGTTGCAATAACAAAAAATCGCTAAAAAAATGGAAGTTTTCAAGCAACTAAAATTTGTTCGAAAATGCGTGTATCATAAATGATGTTGCATTGACCCAGTGCAACTGAAATTATGTAAAAAAAGATTATGATTTAGAATTTCAAATGTACTCCGGCGTCTGTGAATTTGCTGTTCGTCATTTAATCCAGTATAGTATGATATTTATAATTGCATAGTGAGACGTGGGTGATGCGAGCGCCCTGAGATTTACCATTCACTTGTCACACATCATTCCTCATATAGAATAAAGCGAATGCATCCAGATTTGCAAACACATACGCTCCCCCGAATCAGTTTGTGTCTGTCTTGTCTCTTGTCGGTTGTAACCGCGAGCTAAACAAAAAATATTACCGAAAGAGAATCGAGAGCGATAAAGAGAGAGAAATTGTGTGTATAAAAAGAGGCAGTCAGTCAACGAAGCACACATTCAAATGCATTTTATGAAAACAATTACTTCACATTTTTGGATTTAATTTACCATAAAACAACAGCTTGAAAATCCTGTGCATATACCGGCAGAAGCCATTTAACTGTCATCATTT